GCCATTCGTGTGTGCAAGCAAATCAACCTCATAAGCCTCACAAGCCTGTGAAGGATAGACACCTGGCACCACTAGAGCTCGTACATTCAGATCTCTGTGAGATGAATGGTGTGTTGACTAAAGGTGGAAAGAAATATTTCATGACATTGATTGATGCTTCCACTAGATTCTGCTATGTGTATTTGTTAAATATTTCATGCAGTTCTACACTTCAAAGCTATAAGGTAGAAGTTGAGTACGTACCAACTTGAAAATAAAATAAAATGAGTCCGGTCTGATCGTGGTGGAGAGTACTTTTCTAATGAGTTCAATTTATTCTGTGTAGAACATGGTATTATTCATGAGAGGATGCCTTCCTATTCACTCCAGTCAAACGGGGTTGCCTAATGGAAAACCGCACTCTAACAGATTTGGTTAAGACCATGTTAGATACATCGGGTTTATCCAAGGCACGATGGGGGGAGGCTGTATTGACATCATGCCATGTACTGAATAAAGTTCCCACAAAGGATAACGAGACTACTACCTATGAGAAATGGAAGAAGAAAAGAACTACACACTCTTACTTGCGCAATTGGGGCTGTTTGTTGAAAGTCAACGTGTCGATAACCAAAAAGTGTAGACCAAAGACCGTGGACTGCGTTTTTTGGTCTATGACAAGCATAGCGTGAAGGTCGGTATGATCATGGAGTCTAAATATGATACATTCTTTGAGGATATTTTCCTCATGAGAGATATGCAAAGCACTTCTAGACGTGAATCTGATGAGACACATGAACCTGCCATTCCGATGGAATATTATGAGCAAAAAAGTGATGAAAGTTCCACAGGGGATGATGAGGAAGCTCTTGTTAGGAGCAAGGGATAGAGGACTGCAAAGTCCTTTGGTGATGATTTCATCGTGTACCTTGTGGACGACAACACTTCCAGTTCCATCTCAGAAGCTTATGCATCACCGGATGCTGACTACTAGAAGGATGCGGTCTGTAGCACGATGGATTCTATCTTGGCTAATGGGACACGGGAAATCACAGACTGTCCTTATGGTTGCCACCATTGGGATGTAAGTGGGTGTTCAATAAGAAGCTTAGGCCCGATGGTACTATTGAGAAGTACAAGGCTTGGCTTGTGGCCAAGGGTTATACCCAGAAAGAAGAAGAAGATTTATTTCATACTTACTCACTTGTGGCTAGACTGACAACCAGTTGAGTGTTACTCTCATTGGCTGCCTCGCATGGTCTTCTCGTTCATCAAATGGACGTTAAGATGACTTTGCTTAATAGAGAGCTAGACGTGGAAATTTGCATAAAACAGCTAGATGGCTTTGTAGTAAATGGTCAGAAAAGAAACATGTGGAAGCTATTGAAATCTTTGTATGGCCTGAAACAAGCGCCTAAGCAATGGCATGAGAAGTTTAATACAACTTTGACATCTGCAGGCTTTGTTGTCAATGAAGTTGACAAATGTGCATACTGTCGCTATGGTGGGGGTGAAGGAGTTATACAGTGTCTGTATGTTGATGACCTACTGATATTCGGGACCCACCTCAAAATCATTGAGGAGGTCAAGGATTTTCTATCTCATAACTTTGAGATGAAAGACCTGGGGTGGCTGATGTTATCTTGAACATCAAGCTACTAAGAGATAGTGATGGTGCAATTACACTTTTGCAATCCCACTATGTTGAGAAGATTTTGAATCGATTTGGATGTTCAGACTGCAAACTTTCTGCAACACCGTATGATCCTAGCACGTGGATTCGAAAGTTCGAAGGCACGACTGTAGATCAATTGAGATATTCTTAAGTGATTTTTCACTCATGTACCTAGCGTGTGCTACTCTGCTTGACATATCATTTGCGGTGTTCAAACTCAGCCGGTTTGTTTCCAATCAGGGAGTTGTGAGCGAGTCATGCATTATTTGCAAGGTACTATGAACTACGGAATTCACTATTCTGGGTACCCGACATTACTTGAGGGGTATAGTGATTCGAATTGGATATCTAGTACTGATGAGATGAAAGCCACAAGTGGATTGTTTACACTTGGTGGTGGTGGTGTTTCCTGCAAATCTCGCAAGCAGACGATCTTAACGAGATCGAATATGGAAGCATAACTCACAACGTTAGACACATCATGCGTCAAAGTAGAATGACTTCAAGAGCTTCTGATGGATTTTCCAGTGCTTGGTAAGCTAGTCCCGCTATCCTTATGAACTGTGATAATCAAACAGTGATTGCCAAGGCTAAAAGTTCAAAGGACAACATGCAATCCATGAAGCACATAAGAAGAAGATTAAGATCTGTCAAACATTCCAGAACTCGAGGGTAATAGTGTTGGATGATATCCAAATGGCTAAGAATCTGGCAGATCCCTTTAAGAAAGGGCCATCACGGATTGTGATAGAAAAATGCATCGGGAGAGATGGGCATGAGACCAACGTAAGTTGCCATGGGGGTAGCCCAACCTATGTGATTAGAGATCTGTGAATTAGGACATGAGAAAACAATCAGTGGTCAACTGAGAAGAGTATCCCTACTAACCCACTCCGTTGGAGATGTAATACTCTCGTAATCTATAAAGAAGGTTGATTTTTGTCTTAATGTGTTCCAAAGCTTGTATAAGCAAGATGCTATCCTACAGAGTGGTCTTTGGAGGAACACACCTATGTGAGCCCGACTATTGGTCATACTCTACGAGATAGGGTAATCTCTAGAAAGCTCATGAGAAGGTCAAGAGGATGACTAATAAGCTCCATCTATGGGGTCTAGCCTTCGGCATCCACATATCAGCTGACAATTCACAAAACTTCTGCACATTAAACTGACAATTCAAGGCATAGTCCATTGTTCAGTTGTGAATAAGTCTAATCCGGTTGCGCTAGGTAGAAGTTCAAGTTAATTGTCACTGAAAATTCCGGTATACCAAAACATTGTTTGGAACAATTGACAAACTTATGTGCCTCGAGATCTGGTGGGGGATTGTTGGATTATAGATGGGTTTTGGCCCATACAAGACAATAATCCCTGGTTAATATCTATGGTCCATTTAGGTGCATTACAAGTGGTGGAAAGTTTAGTACCATATTGCTAAAGTAGTAAGAGTGAGACCTCTTTATAATGGCTGCTTTGCCACAATGCCATTGGGAGCTTGGGAAGAGGAGTTGTACACGCACACTCTTCCTCCTCTGCCGCCCGCCTCGCCTCACCACGCCTCACCTCGTCACGACACACGGGTGCACCGCGAGTTGTGGGAATGAGCCGAGATGAGCCTTATTTTTGCCGGTCAAGAATGGTTGATTAATTGTTGATTCATTAATGAGTCACTAACGGAAGTGCCACTGTCTGAGATGTTGGACTGTGGGTTGTTCATGGACTCGGTCATGGGCCTAAGCCCAGGCCCATCTATCTGATGACCTATACAAGGAGGCGCTGGCCTGTGACTAAACCCTAACTAACCCACTCCCTCATGCACAACCCTAGTCGTCATCTACTGTTCCTCTCTCTGTGGTGCTTCTGGCGATCCCATCCCAACAATCGTGTGCACGGTTGGTCGAGACAGCAGGTGCCTCCGGAACCATGTTGTTCGAGATCCTGCTCGGGAGAATGGCAATAAGGTTTTTGGGGAGTGTCTTGGCGCGACTTCTCCCGATCCATCTCCGTCTTCGTCCTCCTCTGCTTCCTCCCCTGCATCGACACCATGGTCAATGACGCCGCTGCCAAGAAGAAGGCCACAGACGACATTGAGGCTGCTGCCGCCGCCTTGGCCTGGCCAATCGGAGTGTATGATCTCTTCATCCCTCATTTACTCTTCCATGTGCTGGCCGTATATGCTATGCTCATAGATGCTTCAGTTCTATGTACTATACGTGTTCACAAGCTTAGGTATCAGTATGAATTGCATATTGTGATTGCCATACTTATTGTTTACTCATGCATTAGATTAAAATGTGCTTATATTTTCAACATTGACTTGGTACCAAAAACCCTAAACCCTAAACCACAAACCCTAAAAGTGAGGATAACTACCACTGATGGTAGGAAACATTTGTCCTACATGATTGCGCTTTTAAAGGAGAAATACGGAAACCGTTTGACCGTGTGAGTCACTAGATGGGCGGATAGATCCAGAGGGAGCACAACTGGCCATGCGCCTTTTATGTGCTATGATTGGTGTAAAGTTAATTTTTCGTAATGGTACCAGCTTGTACGTTACTATATGTGGGGTCTTATTGTTATCACACAAACGCGGTGCACGACACATAGCTAGCACACGAGTCATGCCACATTGTGGTGCTTCTTTAACTTATGTTCTGACTTTATAGTGACTGACATATGGGCCCACAAACATACTGACCCACTTGTCACTGCCCAGAGTCACCTGATGTATGTAAGACAATTTGAGCCCCTCTCCGCCCATCCCGTCATCACCTTTTGACCGCGCGGCAGCACGGCCAGCCTGGTGCCTTGTGGCGCTTGTGCGCACGCACTCCATGCCCCTTCTCCCCTTCAAACCCTTACCCTCCATGCGCTTTTTATGTTCTGTAATTGGTATGAAGTTAATTTTCCATAATGATACCAGCTTGTACGTTACTATATGTGGGGTCTTATCATTATCACACAAGCACGATGCACGACACATAGCTGGCACACGAGTTATGCCACATTGCGGTGCTTCTTTGACTTATGTTAGCTGACTTTATAGTGACTGACATATGGGCCCACAAACAAACTGGTCCACTTGTCACTGCCGAGAGTCACTTGATGTACGTGACAATTTGAGCCCCTCTCTGGCCATCCCCTCAGCGCCTTTTGACCGCGTGGCAGCATGGCCAGCCCGTTCGGCGCCTGTGTGCACGCGCTCCACGCCCCTTCTCCCCTCCAAACCCTTACCCTCCAAGCACCTTTAAAACCCCCAGCACCCCGCCCGACTGCAAGCGCACACAATCGCAAAGGCTAGCCAAGCGCAAAGAAGATCCATATCCATCCTTCCTAGCTAGCCATGGAGAGCGTTGACCACCACGACAAAGCCGCCACCCGCCTGTCCCTTTCCCCTCCCCATCCGCCGGCACCGCTCTCCCTGACGCCATCGCCCAACTCGGCGGCGCTGGTGAACACGCACTGGGTGCCGACCAGGGAGCAGCTCGCCGTGCTGGAGGGGCTGTACCGTCAGGGGATGCGCACCCCCACCGCCGAGGAGATACATCAGGTGATGGCGAGGCTGCAGGAGCACGGCCCCATCGATGGTAAGAACGTCTTCCACTGGTTCCAGAACCAGCAGGTCCGGCTGCGCCAGAGGGAGAAGCGGCAGCGATCTGACTACTTCGCCAGGCAGTTCCGCCGCCCCCATCCGCTACCCGTGCTCCACAGCCCCTCTGGCCACCCCATCTCCCCGGTCCAACTCCAGGCGCCGCCGGCGCCGAACACTCCTACATGCAATGGAGAAGGTACGTCCGCACATGAACGCTCCATCTCTGCTTCGACACGCCATTCAATTAAATATGATTTTGGCAATTGGCATGCAATACGTCTTGATTGATTAGCTTCCAAATGCGCTTGTGCGTTTCTTAGCCTAGCTTTATGTTTGGGTTTTAGCTGGAAGGGATATGCATCTACGACTTTCCATTGCAACCCACGCGGCTTTCATGCGTCTGCTGGTCAAAGCTGGTCGATGTGATTGGATGGGATGGCATCCATCTGGGCAAATTACTAGCACACATGAATGTTGACTCATCTATAGTCGTCGTTTCAGAAAGTGACATGATGGTAGTTAGGTCCGTATGCATGCATGCACAAGGTTGCTTTGCTTGCTTGGTTGTATTCTTTTTGCTCATAATGTGCACGCACGGATGCAAGGTAGCTCCATCTTTTCGCTTGTACTAGCACCTGCCATCCCACCCAAGTTCGAGTCTCAGCTTTGACACGGATGCTCGCGGAGTTTATCTTATAAAAAAACTCAACAAGGGTTATCCCCTGGATTGGTCTTGTTTTGGTACTAGCACCTGCCGCTTATCGTCTTCGCCAGCACTATGTGTCAACCGGCTGATCTTTTGCAAAGATCAGCCGGGTAGCTAGTTGGCCGTAAGAGTTGTACCTCGATAGATGTTGGATCAAGCAGTAGCCATCGCTCCACAACCTCGCTCATGTTGTGAGCCGGAGTCCCGGCAATATACCTGGCCATGGGTCGGGCCTTAAAAAGCCCATGACAGAAAACTGAGGCCCAGGCCCTCCTAGGCCCTACCATCGGGCCTACTTTTTAAGCTCAAGCCCAGCCCATCTGGTAAAAAGCCCTGAAAAACCCTTAGGGCTTAGGGTCGTGGGCCGGACCTCTTCCTTAAAATGCCAATATGCCAAGCTCAAGCCCGTCCAGGCCCTGCAGCTAGGCTCAAAACTCAGGCCCAAGTCTGGCCCACGGGCAAGCCCATCGGGCCTAGGCCTTGGATTTTAGGGCCGGGCCTGGGTGGGCCGGCAGTTGGGGAGAAGCATTTTCCTTCTCATCTTGTCCATGGTTGTGTCGCTGCATAGAGTGTCAATGGAGCAGGGGAACCCTCGGAGTCATAGTCACAAGATTTAACGTGTTGCCGGGCTAGGCTATGTATCCTGCTACTGCTACCTTCTGTAGCTCTTTTAATCGTCTCTGCACTATACATGCATATGCGCATGCCCCAGATTGGATGGAATTAACCGTCCTACACCCACGTGTCCAGGCCTAGCGAGAAATTCCTCCCATGCTGTAGGAAGACAAAAAAATAATTCTTGTGGGCCTAATAGTGGAACAACGCATGCCAGCCAATCCAGCAACAAGTAGTTTGTGTTTGTACCATTTTTGATTTATCAACTTGTCTAAAATGACAATGATTGATTTATATTGCTCCTGTTTCTTTGAGTTTCAGCAAAACCAACTTTATTATTTATTATCAAGAGAACTCTATTTAGGTATTTAGCATAAGTTTATGTGCTTTCTGCCTCCCGATATTTTGCACGACGTTGAGCAAAATATGGGAAACACACAAAAGATACCCACAATCCAAACATACCCTAAAATTGTGGTTATACTGACATATTTTTTGTTGGATCCATATTCCTTTTTCTTGCAGCGATGTACATGCAGCAGCCATGCTACATGTCAGGGCCAGCAGCGCAGCCCGCGGCTAATGCAACCTACTACTCACAGATGCAGCCGCCGATAATGTATCCAAGTGTGGAGATGATGGGGCATGGCAATGTACATGCACAGGCGCATGCTGCCATGTACTACCAGGCAGCATCTCCGAACAACTCCAACACTCAACAAATATGTGTGCTCGAGTTGCCCCCAGCCGCCGGCAGCTACGATACCCCCGACGCGTACTCCCACAGCCCCGTGCTTCTGAATCTGTTCCCACAGTACCCCACCTTTGCAAATCGCAAGAAGACCCGCCGCGTCGGGAGCGTTGGCTCCGCGAGGCCATCGACCTCTAGGTCGATCTCTTGGGAGACGGAGAGTCCCAAGATCCCCAACAGACACATTGTTGTCAATCTATGAATTCTTTGGTGAAGGACACTGAAGGTGATGCATGATTGCTGATATGCTCGACAAGTACTTTGTCAGTCTCATGGACAAGCCATTGAGTAGATGTACCAGTTTTCTTTCATGGGATATTTATTTGGAATGTTGATTTACTTAGGTAATTCGAAGTAAAATGTGTATTGCTTCATAAACTTGAAGCGTGCATCGGAAAACTTGTTAAATTTCATTGAGTTAGTCTAGTTAAATCTTTTTATTGCAAGGTGCATGTTCTATTTTGGTTTTAGCTTGTTTCATCGTATCATACATCTAACCATGGGCGTCAAATAGCTGCCAATATTTCCCTACTAATAAAGCACGGAGTGCTTCTGGTCGTACGTCACACATTTTTTCAAAAAAGCCCTTGTGTTTTCAGTAATTAAACCCGCCATCCTATTTTAAGTGGATTATAGGAGAAAACGTTTCGCTTATGCAAATGACACCCTGTAATTTGGTATTATTCAACGTCAGTCCGGTGAGGAAAACAGAGATGCAGACGGGATAGAGTGAATGCAAAGAGTAGTCCCGTTCACTGTCACTCCCGCCGGCGACGACTGGCTTGCCCACGCGGCGGCCCACGCGAGCAAGGCCAAGGGACGGCCCAGACGGTCGATGGTGGCGATGTCATCGTTGTCCTCACGCATGTAGACGAGGCAGTGGGGAGGGTGCCGGCGCTGGTCGCAGGGGAGGCCGAAGGGCGTGGACAAGCCAGATCCGGGACGGAGGACGGACACCGGCGGCTTGGGGACATGGATCCCGCAGATCTGAGCAGCGGCTGGCGAACTCGGAGGCGGCGGTGGCGTGAAGACAACCGTGGTGGTGGTGGCAGCAGCGGCGAGGCTCCTTGCGTGCTCCTTCTCATGGACAAGGGAAAAGAGAAAGAACTGAGAGGCAGAGGAGAGAGAAACGAGGGAGGAGGAGAGGCGCGTTGGAGCTCCGGTAGCGGGCGGCGTGCACGATGGATCGGGTGCTGAGAAAAGAAGGGAATCGGGGATGGGGAGAAGAAAGGTGTGGGGAAGAGACGAGAGGATGAGAGGAGGGGGCTGAGAAGATAAGGTCGGAGGGAAGAGCGGCCAAACGACACGCGTTGCCTGTGTGTGAGACGGCTTGTGCCCAAGCGCGGGCTGGAGACTCAAGGCTTGATTCTCGCCATGCAAAAAACGAGATTAAAGAAAGAAGTTAACTAACTTAGGAGGAATTAGCTAGAAAAAGGATTTTTTTAACGAGAAAGCTACAAAAGGATTAAATGCTTGATTATGGCCGTTGCATGCATCTGTTTGCTTCTCCGTATCTACATGCACAATTGCACACGATTGACGAGCTTGGTTCTACATTTCCTTTTCATCTCGACGAAGTTGGATACATGCACAGGATTGATGGTTTTTGTTCCATATTTTTTCTTCTTCTTTTATTTTCTTGATTAAAATTTTCAATCATTCGTACCCATTGTAACCCTATCTGTTTGTGTTGACAAAATAATATCCGAGCGCTGCTGATTTCGGTTCATACGAGTGCATTTTATGTCAGACATTATAATTTTTGTGAGTTTTTGTTGTTCGTCCGTTGCAATGCACGGGCCTTTTGCTAGTGTTCTCAATAGATTTCAGGCATCATCCCCCTTTCATAAGAAAATAATTTCCCTTTTTATTTTAAAGGCCTATTTGAAATGATTGTAAGTGTTGAATGTCCACCAACATTTTGTTCTCGCTTGAGATAAGAATACATGTGGGTACACACAAATTATAACCTCTCCAAACATCCTCTTAGAGTAATTCAGAGGTGTATAGAATTTTCTGTTCTTGTGAGAAAAATAGGTATATTGTTCGATTAGTTGTTTAAGTCAGAAAGTGTGAAGCACACACAAGCGTATCATGTATAAACATTGTAGACGAAATAGGTTTGTTTAAGTCACAAAGTGTGAAGCACACACGAGCGTATCATGTGTAAACATTGTAGAAGACATAAGTATCATGCTCAAGCTCACATTACTATTTTGCCCGACATACCTAAGGTTTTAGGATATTATTGTCACATACCAAATTTCACAAATTTGACCCTTATTAGCTTTGGATTTCTTTCCCTGGATTAATTCAAGAAAATGGTTAGCCCACTTTTTCAAAAGGAAAATGAGCTCGAGCTTAATTTGTCAAAACGTTTTCTAACTATATATGCTATTCCAATATAAAGATTACAAGCCCAAGAATGTTCAGTAAGTATTTCTTTTTTATTTTTCAAAACAATCCCCTTTTTAAACCCCTTTGTGAAGAGGCACCTTTTTAGACAAACAAACTATGCCAAGAAAATTGCAGTAGTATCTTTTGATCATGTGTATTCCAAATACGCTAAAACATGAGATGCTCCAGTACAATTTTTATTTCCAAAATTCCCTAAAGTTTTTGTCAAAAACTTAACAAAAACCATTTTTGGAATCTAACCTTTGAGTTTTGACCCCAAACCTTTTGTGTATTCGCTACACCTCATTCAAAAGCTACTCTATTAGTTTCAGCCCCAAGGATTTCTATTTCATACCCATAATTGTTTTCTTCAAATCTGGGCAGTAGAAAATTTGCACCATGTTAGTGAAGTGCCATTTCATCTGATATCTTCCCAGATCCTACAGAACACCTAGGAACCTAACCATACCAAATTGCAGCCCCAAGATCGACTCCTAGGATCGAAACATGTCTATGCCAATGATGGCGGCGGTGACCACACATGCTAGATCGGCAGTAGTGTAGAAACAACTTTCTGTTGCGCTACTGCTTCATGTCGTGGCACTGCTCCCATGTTGTTTCATGACTATGCACTCGTGGACGCATCTCGCACCACCCTGCACCCCTCCCTCACGGCCCCTCTTCCACTCACTGTCACAGTAACGCCGTGAGCTCCGCCTCAGGCACGTGTTGGGATAGAACTGCCATAATAATCTCCAAAGTGGCAAACTACCGTACCACCTAGAAGTATCTGCCAAGCACTCCTATGGACACCACTGCCTCAGTGCCGATCACTTGCCTCCTCGGGTGCACAAGCCACCTATTGTGGTTGTCCCACCTCCGAGGACAGGAGGAAGACCATGTCAGGAAAATCCCATGCCTATGGTAGGATGGGCTCTGACATGTCACATGTCTGAGTGAGTCATGTATGGTCTTGTAACATCCCAGGTAATGGACGCGATATGGGATGCTTCAAGGGAAGGTAAGCCCATGATGGCGTACGTCAGGAGAGGACGACTCTGAGAACAACTCTTGATGTCCTCTGGGATCCCCAAGGCTCTAATAAACCAGAAGTGTAGGGTATCTATTGTAGAATTTTCGATAAGTAAGAGTTTTGAACCTAAGAAGGAGCTAAATATTTGTATTCTCTAAGTTCTGTCAACCATAGATACAACCCTACATACACCAAATGTTTGCTTTACCTATAAACAAGAAATAAAACTCTTTACATTTATAAAAGGGATAGTTTCCAAGAAAGTAAAGAACTTGGAAATAATGGTTAGTTGTTGTAACGCAAAGGAACAAAAAAGTAAAATATATGGAGTGTGGAATAGATATGACACGAGGTGCAGAATTGTCCCTAGGCAATTGGCTACAATAATGATATATTGCAGTTTTATATGTGAGAGAGGCCTATGCTAACATGCAACAAAATCCATTGATACCATGTACTTATGATTGAAACCCCAAGCACGCGTCCACAAGTAATAAAGATTCATTAGGGTAAAAATCAACCATAGATATCTCAACATAGCACTAACCCTAAAGTGTGATCCACATACACACAAACTTGATAATATTTGGCTCTCCTTCTGCTCTCTACATAGTTATCTCAACATACTACTAACCCTAAAGCGCGACCCACATACCTATGTGCTTATATGATGGGCACCAAAGGACAACATCACATCAACATACAATGCAAATCAATCATAATGTATCACGAATGAACAACATGACAAAATGAATCTACCCAGACACAACGAAGATGCAATAAGTCATTGGATAATAATTAATACCATGAAACACCATGTTTAAGCAGGGGATTAAAAATCTTAGGGGGGAGTGGACAAAACTATAGAGAGGGAGGAAGTAAATGGAGATGGTGTTGAAGTTGATGGAGGCGATGGAGACAATGACTACGATGATGGTTTCCCCGACGTCATTCCGACACAGCTGAAAGAGAGGGGGAGAGGGACCCACCCTCCTTGTTCTTCTTTGGCCTCCCTGCTAGGTAGGGAGAGGTTTCCTCCTTTGGTACATTGTGTCCATGGCCCCAGAGCGCGAGAGCCCCCTCCAACATTTGATATGTATTATGAGTTTCTCTCTATTTTCGCTACTTTCCTAAGTCATTCCATCATTTCTTAAACTAGATGAGTTGTTGTTGTTGGAAATATGCCCTAGAGGCAATAATAAAGTGGTTATTATTATATTTACTTAATCATGATAAAGATTTATTATTCATGCTATAATTGTATTGATTGGGAACTTAAATACATGTGTGAATACATAAACAAATATCGAGTCCCTAGAAAGCCTCTATTAGACTAGCTCGTTAATCAAAAAAATGGTTAAGGTTTCCTAACCATAGACATGAGTTGTCATTTGATAATGGGATCACATCAATAGGAGAATGATGTGATGGACAAGACCCATTCATTAGCATAGCATATGATCGTTCAATTTATTGCTACTCCTTTCTTAATGTCAAATACATGTTCCTTCGACTATGAGATCATGCAACTCCCGGACTCTGGAGGAATGCCTTGTGTATATCAAACATCACTTCGTAATTGGGTGATCATAAAGGTGCTCTACAGGTATCTCCGAAGGTGTCTGTTGAGTTGGCATGGATCATGATTGGGATTTGTCATTCAGTATGATGGGAAGGTATCCCTGGGCCCTCTCAGTAATACAACATCACAAGAAGCTTGCAAGCAAAGTGAATAATGAGTTAGTTAAAAGATGATGTATTATAGAACGAGT